GGCCCCGCCCTCCCTGCGTGCCGGCAGGTCCACCCAGGCAGCCCTTACCCCCGGACAGCCGCCGGCGGCACGCTGAGCGCCACACAGAGCAAGGATTCTGCGGCTTGCTCAGGGCTTTCCTTTTGAACAGGCTCTACAGATGTTTAATTAAAGCAATCTGACATTTCCTTTCTAATTAGGGTTGGGATAAATAGCTACATGCTCTGGTACGGAAAGGAGGAATGGAGGTTTCATTATATGCTGGGAAGAAGCATGTGCCAGTGGGGCTCGTGGATGCCTGGCCCCATAACGCTGCATTTGCTGCAGGCAGGGGACGGCCAGCGAGGCCAGGGGACCCGAGACGGGCAAGCCAAGGGCTGCAGAGTGGGTTTTTCACAGAAGCAAAAGTACTCACAGCTCTGCAAACCGCTGCAGCAAAAGTGCCGAAAACAGATTTTTTATCTTCCCCTGGCTCACGCTCACTGATCAAACTGCGTATTTTAAAGTGCTGCTTTGGCAGTTCTGTCACTTAAATGTGCTTCAAAACACCAAGAGGGTGGGGAGTGACAGCCCCAGGGCTGTGGCTGTAGAAGGGGAACGTCCCCTTGCTGCAGCTCTCCCCAGCACAGGCAGTGCCTTGGCACAAACCCACCCTTTCAGGTAATTTTGGCCAAGGTGCCAGCGAGCTCAGAGGTGTGCCCATGCGCAAAGGGCCCCCGGGTGCCGGCGGACGCTGGAGCCCCACCGCCTGCAGCAGGGTTTTATCCGAGGTGCGCAGGCACCAGGAGAAGGAGGGTGAGTGCCAGGGACCTGCCTGGCTTGTGCCACGGCATGATGAAGTGAGCCCTGTCCCTCTGCACGCCCCATGGACACGTCCCAGAGCCAGGCTCCATCCGGGAGCGATGGGGGCAAGCGGCCACCCTCAAGGAGGGGGATGCGGAGGGGAGGCCATGAGGGACGTTGGCCAGCGAGCCCTGGTGAGACGATCTCTGCAGAGCAGCAGCTGGCTCCTGCCCAGAGCTTCCTCCTGACCCATGTCGGAACGCTGCTGCCAAGTGGTTTGGTTGCTGAGCTGGGCAGACCTTTGCTTCCCTGCCATCACTCTCCCCATCCTTAACATTAGAATGCATCTGATGAAATCCCCTCCGTCTTCAGGCCTGAGGAGGCTCCATGGCCATTGTGTTCCGATTGGGGTGGGACAAAGGCAACAAAATCATAAAGAGCAGCAAATATTTTGGGGATAAATTCATGGTGTGTGGTCTCGCCAGTCTAAACAGCCAGCATGGCTCAAGAACAGCAAAGGCGACTCATCCCGGCTGTCAGCACATCTCAGGAAAATATTCCCAGATAGGCTCCCAGCCTGGGGGAGAGCTGGCTTTCACTACAGGTGTAATGAAAGCTCCTGAACTCTTGCTAACCTTCACAGCTTGTTAATAGAAGAGTTTTTTGAGCTTAATTTGGCAAACCAGTAGCAGAAATGGTGATGCCTGAGCTCCCAGTCCAGCCCTGGTCGCAAATCATTAACCCAGTGATGAGATGGGAAGGAAATCTTTGATGGGAATTGCCAGCAACAAATTAACAGAAGCCATTATCTGCTCTTGAATATTATGTGAACAGACAAAGTGCTTACATCTGGCAGAGACATTAGGTCCAAAGACCAGTTTAACTTGCTTTACGCTTAGCATGCCATTTTTCTAGGGCCTTTTATTAATGTCCTGCAAACTCAGTGTCCAGAGAGGAACCAAACCAACTGAAAGAAGCTCTGGCAAAAATATTTTCCAGCCTAGCAGAAGAAGCTTAGACAAATGCCTATGAGGGAACGTGGAGGAAAGAAACACTTACTTGGTGTAAAATGCCACAAACTTCAGTTCGTCTAAATCTCCCTGAATGACAACATCATCAAATCCTTCCCCATGGCCTGGAAGGCAGAGAAGAAGTGGGTTCAGCAAAAATTCCCCTGCATCCAGCTCTAGCCCCTAAGACAGAGTGTTTCAATCCAGAGCGACACGAAGGGCGTCCTGCAGTCACCAGCACCAGCAGATGAGGGTACCAAAGAGCATCCCTTCTTGCAAGTTCAGCGAGACTGTCTCTGTTCACGCTGGACCATCCCTCACAACCACAGCCATCCCTCTGGCCCTGCACCCCACGGCCAGGAGGTTTCAGAGGAGATACTAAAGCCCTCAGGAGCCGGGAAGGGAAGCAGACCCAAGGCAGAGGTTGGCACAGCGGTTCCGCAGCCAGGGAGGTGCCTGTGGCTTCTCTATCCCAGGACACCTCCACCAGCACAAACTTTACAGCAGCCCTGGGGAGCCCCTTACCCGCATATCGGATGCTCTTCCCGAACATAGCAGTCCACAAATACGGGACTGTGCTGATCTCCGTGCCGTGGGCCAGCATGTTGAGCGCGGCTATACGGCCTGGAAGAGAGAAGCAGCAGAATAAGTGAGGAAGCTCCGTGCTGGGGCAAGCATTGAGGTCTGCCCTTAGGTCACAGCACAGCATTGACATCTCTAGTCTCAGAGTACAGGGAAACCAAGAGGTTCTGCTTAGGCTAAAAACCCCCCATACAGCAACAAATACCAACAGGGAAATGCATCACGTTGTCCGAGGCTGGGCTCGGGCTCCTCCCCGGCGGTGCAGCTCCTACTGGCTCGTCACCTCCACTGGCACCGGAGCACACCTCCATGGTGTTCAACCCAACTTCTGCAACAGCGGCAGGGCCGAGAGCTCGCTGAACTCCCACCGCAAACGGGGATGGGATGGACAAACCCCCTGAGGGCGTGGAGACTGTCAGGGTACGCTCCCTGCCACAGAGGCACGTCTGCACCAGCATTAAAGGGGGCTGTGTCCAAGGGCTAAATTTGGAGGGGTGGTTCCAAAAGCGCTCCCCCAGGGCACCCACCCAGAGGTCAACCTCCCCATGGGGTTGTGGCCTTGGAAAGCTTGAGGGCAGCTGATCGCTCCAAGGTTTCCAGGATTGTTGGTGCGAAGGGGAGAAAGGTCTCAGCTCTGCAGCATGGGCAGCCCAGCTGGGGACGTGAGCCCAAGCCAACATGAGGGCGTGAGCTCCTAAGTTTCCCAGGGCAAGGAGAAGACCAGGCTTTTGCAGCGACTGCAGATGCCAGGGAGCACACGGCATACGGGGAACCCTGTCCCTGGGCACCTCTGTGTTTGTCACGAGGCATCGTTAGGCAATGCACGTCAAGGCCGCTGAATGAAAGCACATCAGACCGGATAAAATAGACATGTTTCAAATTGTTTCGTACAACCACCCAGTTTCCCTGTTGGCAGTTGCCTCATTCTCTCGCTAGAGGGCCTGGAAATTTCCCGGGGATCTGGAAAAGGCTCTTTTCCATAAGCAATCTGCTGTTGCAAAGCAAAGGGACTGAAAAGCACTTACCATGCATATGGGCCATCTGCCAGTGAGGGACGTTCACCTTCTTATTATTCCTCAAGGCCAGCGGGAATGTGACAGCGTCACCAGCTGCAAAGACTCCGGGGATGTTGGTTTGCATCATCTGCAGGGGGGAAGCAGAAGTGTGCGTTGGTGGGGTTTGCACCCCGCACGAACAGAAACAGGGAACTGCTCTAGAGCTGCCACGGTCCCCAGGAACACACGGACAACCTCTGCTTGGCTGTGGGCCCCTCGGGTGAGATGTGACTTAGCGTTCTTCGCTTTCAAAGCAGACCATGCAGGCAGAGACTTACAGCATCCCTCTGCCAGTGGGCTACCCAGTGAAAAGAGACATGGCCTTGTGTCCTGGAGCCCCTCTTAGAAGAGGGGTTTGCAAATAGAGCCTGGCTTATTGCACACGTGAGCGACAAGCACAGGGGTGGGTGGCAATGAGCCCCAGCCCCCCCAACACACTCCTTGCTCACAGCACACACCACCCATCAGCACCAACCCTGCTCCCATCGGAGCCACTGGTGGTGAGGAGGAAAGATGAGATCCTTCGGGATCCTTGAAAAGGTGGCTCTTTCTCCACTTCTTTCCCCCCCAAAACATCCACACCATTCCAGGGCAGCTCAGAACCGGACCCAAGCCACAGCATCCAGGCCTGGGATTTGTAAACCACTCGCTTGCAGGGGGGACCCA